AGTTTACTGACCACGTGCTTGGATGTTGAGGCAATATCAAAGTGACATAAAGGTTTGCAATCCTTACTCCGAATTTTTAAACTTACTTTGCTGTGGGCGGGTTACAAACAGGTCATGGACCAGCACCAGCCCATGGGTCACACATTCACTAGCATAGGTCTAGAATTTTCCCAGTGTCCCAAACACCTCCTCCAGGCTGGGCACAGGGTTGTTCCTGGCCAGGATCCCAGGCAGCCTCAGAGAGGGTGCCCCTGTGGGACAGCATCGTGTCCACGTGTCCGTGGGCCTGGGGCCCTCTCCAGGGAAGGCCTTCCAGGGCAGTCCCTGGGACGTAGGATGTCCCAGCCTCTGGCGCCCTCTCCTCCAGCCCTTTCTTCGCCCAGCTTTCTGGGACGCTCCTCCCCTCCAGGACGGGATGGGGATGTAGATCCAGTCATTGGCAGTCCCCACTTTCTCTCATAGCCTTGGGGCCGACCCCACTTTCTTTCCCTTCTGGGCCCCCACCCACCCACAGCAGCCACTGTCTTTTTGATCCTGGTGGCCCCCACCACTTTTCCAGAGACAGCCGTCCCCCCGGTCCCCCCCACAAGGGCTCTGAGCACAGGTGGGTCTGGCACCTTCCTGGGAAGGTGAATGGTGGGAGGGGTGTGCAGGCGGCTCACAAAGTCTCAGAGTCGGGAGGGGCCATGAAAGGTACTCCCCAGGCTGTGGGGGCCGTGGGGGCCGGGGCTGTGCCACAGAGCTGGAGGGACAGGGATGTGACAGCAGCCCTTCACACTCCCCGCAAGGGGCTTCTTTCCCAAATAGCCACAAAGGAGTGAGGACAAGAATGGAGGTCAGAGAGGAAAGGGCCCTAAGGGCGGTGACTGTCCCCACCCTTGAGGGGGCTGAGGCAGGCGGCACCCCAGAGGTACAGGGGAGCTGGGAGGGGGCCAGGCCTCCTGGAGCCTCTTCCAGTGCTCCTCCCGGGCTCGCTGTAGAGCCCAGGCCACAGCTCTGCCCCAGCCTGAGCCAGAGACCTTATAACACAGTCCCCACCCTCCCAACTCGGTTTTCTCCTTCTGGGCCAAGGGGCTCTTTTCCCGGTCTGGCCCCACTTGCTGACCCGGCTTTCCTGCTGGCAGGCTATCCCACCCACTAACTAACCCACTATCCTTTCTCTTCCGTCGCAGCCCCCGCCTCCACGCAGGCCACCTGGGCTCCCCCCGACCTGGTCTCATCACAGACACAGAGCTGTGTGCCCCCAGCTGGAGGAGCCGCAGAGACCCTTGAGGCTCCGCCTGCCACCGCTGCCCCTCCACAGTGAGTTGAGGGTGGGACCCGAAGCCACTGAGGCCTGGGCAAGGGACTGCAGAGGAGACTGCCTGCCCAGCCTGTCCTCTCTGCCCTCCAGGCCACGCAACTCCACGCCCCACCTAGGCCCCGCAGTCCCCAGGGCCCTGCTCCCCGCGCTCTGGGGACTCCTTGTAGCCAAGAGCCTGCTGCTGCCCGCCCTGCTGCTCTGGTGAGTGGGTGCGGGCTGGGCTGGGGCAATGGAGCCGGGGGACTCAGCCAGGGAACAGAGTGGGAAAACTGTCCCGCACGGGGCTCCCCAGATTAAAGCCTCACGGAGTCCACCCGTCCGCCACGCTCACGTGGACAGTACAGGCCCACCTTTGTTCCACAGTTGCGAACTCGCAGGGATCTCACCCACGTTTCTGTTTTCCTCTCTCTTCCCCCTTCTCCACCTTTCTCCGTCTCTCTGTCTCTCTCCTCCTCCCTCCCCTCCACTCACCTCCCCTCTCCTTCTCCCTCTACTCCTGCCCCGCCCCTGTGTCTCCCCCACATCCCATCAGCAACACTGACCTGCACAGCCAGGAGCACCCAGGTCCCAAGACTCGCCTCACTCTGGTCCTGAAGGAGAGAAAGTGGACACAGGAGGGGAAGAGCCACCAGCTCTGGGGAGAAGGGGACATGTGGGGAAAAACCTAGGAGGGGCTGGCGAAAGGTGCAGGGAGAAAGCCAGCAGTGAGGAGGGTGCAACGACGCAGAGTCAGGGCAGGCCAGGGGCAGACTCGCTGGAGGAGGGGGCAGGCTGTGGGGCTCGTTCGAGCCCCTCCTTGTGTTTCTTCCCTCTCCTCACATCTCAGGGCCTTCAGGAATCGACATGCGCAGAAATTGAGGGCAGTCTCTGCTGCGCCCGGCTCAGCCCAGGCCCTGGGCCCCCAGGTGCTTCCCACGGAGCCACGGGACCCCAGGTGGGTGGCCAGTCTCCCCCAAGCCCAGACGCCCAGGAGCTCCTCCCTGACCTCTGGGCTCTGCCTTCCCTGCAAAGAAAAGGCCAGAACTTGACCTGCAGCCCTTGGCTCCCCTCCCTCCAGAGCAGAGGGCTCCCTCCCAGGCCCCCACCCAGCTCAGCGCAGCATCTGGGCCAGGCCATCCCGTTAGGGGAGCAAAGCCCGGGGCAGCATCTTCCCACCAAACCAGAAGGTCTGACATGGGACAGGAGGTGTCAGAGAGAGAGACCAGCCCCGCGGGGGTGACAGGCCGGGGGCAGGACGCAGAGTGACCTCAGGTGCTGCGTGTTGAACAGCCCCCTGCCCGGCCCTCACCGAGCTTGCACGCCACTTAGCAGGGGTGAGGAGGGACCCAGATTTTCCATCAATTCCTCCTCTCCTCCTCCTCCTCCTCCTGTCTGTAGCCCCTGGTGAAAGAAAAACCCTACACAGGATAAATTTACAGCAGTTTATCTGAGCAAAGAACAACTGGTGAATCAGTTGTCAGAACCAGAAGAGGTCTAGAGAACTCCGCTCTGCACCCTGGGCAGTGTTCAGCGACAGAACACGACTGAAGAGAGAAGAAACAAGGACAGAAAGTGGGTTGGTCGTTTCAACGTTACTTTCCTTGTAAAGGTTAAGCAGAGGAGACTTCCTTATCGTTCCGGCTAAAAGTGGCCTGTTTGGGGATTTGGCTGTTCATTCTCTCCCCCGCACCCCCCGCCCCCAATTTCTTGGGAGGTCAGATAAACGACTTCGTTCCAGCCTGGTGGCACTGTGGAACTTCAGCACGTGTGACTCCTTTTTGGTCCGGTCTGCTGGGCCTAACACAGGAGCCGAGAACAAGCCATGGCCTCTGTGACTTATATCTAACACCCCCAGCCGGACACCTAGGTCGCCCCAGCATTTCTCCCTCCCTCTGCCCCTGTTCAGCCACACTCTGCCAGGGCCACTGTGCAGCTCGGCCTCCTCCCGCCTTCCAAATGCCTCCACCTGGCACCAGTTGCCCAGACCACTGTGTCAGACACCTGACTGATGTCCTGTCCTCGGACCCCCTCCTGGCTGGGTCCCCTGATACGACCCTTCCCAGCAGCACCTCTGTGCATTTTTGCCACGTGGGAATTGAAGTCCAGTGTCACTGGCGGGCCCCTCGCCCTGCCGGCACTGCACGTCCCTGTGCTGTCCTTCTTGCCACCGTCAGTGTGGCTGCGGGATGGAGAAAGGAGCGAACCTTCCTTTCCTCTGCACCGGCCAGGCAGGGGGCTGCTCGACACGCAGCACCTGGGGTCACTCTGCGTCCCGCCCCAGGCCCGTCACCCCCGCGGGGCTGGTCTCTCTCTCTGACACCCACTGTCCCATGTCAGACCTTCCGGACTGAGTCTCTAACTATATTATCTTTTCTCTCCTGTTCATCATCTATTTTTCTTTATTCCTACTTTCTGGAAAAGTTCCTCTAGGTTACATTCTATCCAAATGTTTACAATTTATACTCTCACATTTTTTCATTTCTAAACGGTCCATTTGTTCTGCGAATATTTCTTTTTCTAGCACAGCATGTTTTATTTTGGCGTGCCATATTTTCTCTGGAAATATTAAAGTTTTAACTTTTGAGCTTTTTTTAAGCTTTGTGTATTTTCTGTTTCCTCTGAGTGACTGCTGTGTCTTCTGTTTTCTCCTTCTGTGGGCCTCTGTCTTTCCTCAGAGCTTTCTGGAAGCCTCTGCTGCTTCTCAGCGGCCCACGGCCTCGCAGAGCTCAGATGCTGGGTGTGTGCCGCGGGGTTCGTGGGCTCTAGACAGATCGGGCAGCAGCTTGCGCCCATTTTTTCTCTCCAACATCTCAGTTTCTCCAGAAAGGATTCTTGCCTGTCCTCCTTGGGGGCGTAAGCCTGGCTCCAGGGTTCCAGGCACCAGCTGTCACAGAGCGAGGGGTTCTCCCTGCCCCGTGTCTGTTCCCACTCAGCCCCCGTCGCGTGCTCTCTCCACGTGCCTGGTGCCCTAGCGGAGCACCTCCGTGACTCCGCCTCACCAGAGACTAACCTCAAGTTCTCTGCAGGGCGGTGAGCAAAAGGGAGGACAGGAAGTGGGTAGCTGACCTACTCCCACTCTCACGGAGGCTAGGAGTCCAACAGATTCTTAAAACACACCTCCAACCCATGGTGTGGCCTCCAGCACCCGCTTCCACTCTGCCTGCTGAGATACCCAGGCCTCTGACTGCTAAGCCGGGCTGGGACTCTCAGGTAAAAGTGACCTGCTGCCTCTCCTCCCACCCGCACCAGCCTTCCGTGCTCTGTGAAGTCATCTGGTTGTCACTCAGCTTCAGAACTTGCATGGAGCTCTCCCTTCATCCTCCAGGATGAATTTATACAAATGGTAGCCATTTGCTGCCCCGCCCCTCACCTAGCTTGCACGCCACTTAGCAGGGGTGAGGAGGGACCCCAGATTTTCCATCAAACACTCCTCCCCAGGAGTGAGTGCGATCCCAAACCTCCACTCACTCCTGTACAGACTCCTGTCTCCCAGCCGTCCCCCACGGTCAGCCTCTCGGTGCCTTTACTTCATCCCTGTTCACTCTGGTCACCATGAGAAGCCCAGGATGCCCCTGTCCTCGTCACCCCAGAATCCCATCTCAATAAGACCTTATAAATCCATTAAATTAGCCCCTTTTCCCACTCTTCACCAAATCCATAAACCTTTCAACTCTGGCCTCTGAAATGCACAGCCCTGAGCACAAGCGCCTATCTGCTCAACCTCTCTGAACGTCACCTTCTCTCTCCCTGAAACCTGCCTCTGCTCTGAGGATGCAGCTTTCCCTGCAGTTCTCTTGAGGGGTGGCTCATTGCTGTCCTTTGTCTCATGACACTGGGACTGAGGGTGGAGTTGGTGTCCTCTGTGCTCCTCTGGCCCTTCCTACCTTCCCGTCTTCCTACCTTCCAACTCATCCAGCAGCTGAGTCGCTGCCATTAGACTCCCCCACCGTTGTCGACCACCCATCCTTGTTGCGGATCCTATATAGCCTGGGGTCCTCCTCTTCATTCCTCGTGGGTCTTAACCCCTGGCTCAGCACCACTCTCACTGCTCCCGCCATAAGTCCTTGGTGACCTTGGGCCCACATAGACTCACGGACGAGTCTTCCAAATCCCCAGCCTCTCAGTTGACTGAGGGATAATGTCTTCAAGCTTCTTGGAAGCCCTAATGTTTGACTGAAAAAAAATCTGTGAAGCACATACCTTAGACTCATTAGAGGACCTTTTGTCTTAGGCGTGATGTGAAATAATAAGAAATACATATGCTGGCTTTTGACCCTGGTTCCTGACACAGAGCTTCTAAGACCCTTCTAAATAGGGGTGCTAGGGGGACTTTTGTTCTAATATTTGGACTTTGACTCTGGTTCCTGACACGGAACTCCTAATCCCTTGGAATTTCCTGGGTGATAGGAGCAACTTTGGCTGTAACGAGGCAACGCTCGGTGGGCTCCTCGATGGGACTAGTCACAAGAAAGATCCAACCGTGATTAGAAGCTTGGGACTTTCAGCCCCACCGCCCATCCTGCAGGGAGGGGAGAGGGGCTGGAGATAGAGTTAGTCACCAATAGTGCTACATGGTGAAGCCACCGTAAAAACCCCACAAGCAAGGTTTTGAGAAGCTTCTGGGTGGGTGAACATAACCACGTGCTGGGAGGTGGTGCACCCCAACTCCACGGAGACAGAAGCTCCTGCACGCGGGACTCTTCAGACCCCATCCTGTGTGTCTCTTCACCCAGCTGGTCATCTTAATCCTTTAGCACATCCTTTATTATAATATTCTAATAAGCCAGGAGACATAAGTAAGTGTTTCCCTGAGTTCTGTGAGTCATCCTAGAAAATTACAAAACCTGAGACAGGGTTCACGGCAACGGGATTTATAGCTAGTCAGTCAGAAGAACAGGTGACAACCCGGGGCTTGCGATTGGCATCCGAAGTGGAGGCAGACTCGTGGGACTGAGTCCTCAACCTGAGGGGTCTGCGCTAACCCTGCTTAGTGTCAGAAGCGAACTGAATTGTAGGACGTGCAGGTGGCGTCTGCAGAGAAATGGAGACTTTCTTGGGGGGAGGGGTGCACTCACACATCTGGTCGCAGAAGTGTTCTGTGTTGAGAGTATAGTGGATGAAAACGATTTGGTTTTTCAGACTAAACACGTTACCTTTGATCTTTCTGAGGTCTTACCGGATTTTACAGTCACACCTTTGGTTTCCTCTTTAGATTACATACTCCTGCAAGTGCCCTGGGTTTCATTTTAGCATCATTTATTGTCTGCAGGCTGAGAGTTTTAAAGTCAAGTCCCAGCTCCTCCACGTTGAATAGTCCTGACTATAATTTCCCTCTCTCCTCTCTCCTCTCTCCTTTGACAATGAGCCACAGGAAGAAACCAGGCAGCACCTTCAACGCTTTGCCTGGAAATCTTAGCTGTGCAGCCCAGTTCATTAGGTACATGTTCTACTTTTCACATCACTGCAGGTGGCAGCATTGCTTTTGCCATTGCAAAACAAAGAATGCCTTTTCTTCTTACCTACTGAGAGACCCTAGAGATGGTGCTTAAGGCCTCTACCCCTAGTCTCTTCACTGGTAAGCACAGAACTGATAATCGCCACGTTACCAAGCCATTTGGATTTCCAAGTAGGATGATACATTCGTAAAGCACCAGACGTATGAAGGACACTGAAAAAACGCTGAGCTTTGGAGGAAGTGAAGTATGGTAGAAAGAAGACTCAACCGTGACACAGCAGAGACCACCCAGCGCCGGGAAGATAGATAATAATGTGTGAGCAGAGGGTGAACTTGGAGTCCTTATAGTTTCCTCTCTCCGTGAACAGCAGAGGAAAAAAAGGAAAAAATCAAGATGAGGAAACTGACCGAGCTGGGCCCCAAACACATGCATACCCACTGCCACCTCTCCGGCCAGCAGTGGTCAGAAGCAGCCTTCCTCCTTGTCAGGACGGTGTGGCCACCAACCCCGCGTGTAATGGGACAGGGACGGGATCACCTCTGCATCTAGCGTGCAATTCCACGGGGTAATCCTTGACCATCTTCCTGGTTTCCTGTTCTGATTGCAGGTGGGACACACAGTGGAAAATCCTGGTGGAGCTCAGGAGCCTGAGTCCCAGCAAAGCCACCTGCCACTGTCCACTAGTCACGGACCTTCTTGAGACCTCAGTTTCCACACCTGTAGGGAGATAAATATTACTACCACACTGACGTGAGGACAAAGATAAACAATGCTAATGAGCACACTTTGTAAATAATAAAACTATGTGAATATTTTATTCCTGTTGTTTTCTAAGTTTCCTTCCAGCTCTGAGGCTCCGCCCTGCATCCCGTACTTGGTCTCTAGGGGACCAGCTTCTCTGGTCTGCCCTCTTTTCTCCACCCTCACCCTTTCCCGTCCTCAGTTCTCTCGATGGCCCCTGGAAGTCCGGGAGCCCGTAGATGCTGCGGGGACGGGCACTGCACAGGAGCCCAGGGAGCAGAGGGGCCAGGGGTGGGGGAGGCTTGGAAACAAGACCTGGATTTGCTCTCTCAGCTCAGCCATGTGTGAGCTTGGGCAGGTCACTGCCCCTCTCTGAACCTCTGGCTCCTTCTCCGGAAAACGAAGGGAATGGAGATGAGTCCTGCCACCCCTTCCACATGGGAGTAAGTCAGTGAGCGCAAACTGAACACTTCCCTGTGCCCAGCTCAGGCTACCAGGGACCCAGCACCACAGGACACAAGTACAAGAAGCCAGCCCAGAACATAGCTGTGAGTCCGTGGGTGGAGAGGCCCTGGGGAAGATTCCAGCACAGGCTGAGGGAAGGGGACAGGGAGGGGAGCAGAACAGGCAAGGAGGTGGCCAGGGAGGGACAGAGAGGGGGACACCAGTGGGCACCAGACAGTGGGGGAAGGAGCCCAGCAAGGATGAGGAACTTTGCCATGAGGTCACATTAGTCAGGATGCCATGACCTCAACTGAGCCCCATTGAGGGAGACACAGTCCCAGGAAGGCGGTGGGGGCCTGTCCCGTCTCCACTCACCCCTAAGGTCCTGGGAGCATCCTGGTATCCGGGGGCAGTTTGAGCTTTCAGGGTCTCCTGCCTCCTCTTTCTGGTTCTCACCTTCCTTCCTGGGCTCTTCTGGGGACCAGGCTCCACACCAGGCCCAGGGCAGGGAAGTCTGGGGACAGCCAAGGTCTCAGGCAGACCAGAATCCAGCGCTGAGGCTCCTCTTTCCTCTAAGCCCCAGCCAATGCCACTCCCCTGTGGAGCCCTGCTCAGCGCTTCTGCCCTGTGCTCCCAGCCCTCGTCTCCTCCACCTTTGCATGAGGCCTCTGCACCCGGATCCTAGAACTGACTCTCCCCTCCTCTGTCCTCTCCCCTCCTGCACTCACAGAACCTCCCAGCACTTCAGGGTGGCAGCACTTCAGGGACCCACCAGGCAGGCCTGTGTGAGCTCCATGGGGTCCAATGTGATCAGGATCCAAATGTCCCTCTGACCCTGTCAACCATCTCTAGCCCGTCCTTCCAGGGGACATGAAGAAAAGAAAGGCCCACCCCAGAAATGAGGGGCAGTCTGGAGAGGGAGAGGAACACGGGAGGAGCAAGGCAGCACTCGCGTTGACCACAGTTTCCTCCCGTCTCAGTTCCTCTCCCGTGTCCCCACCCCGCATGGGGGATGCTGGGCAAGAGCAAGTTCCTGTGGCTGCCCTGGGGGGCAGAGAGGAGGCCTCTCGGGGCCCAGAGGTGCCCCCTGCACCTGGGGGAGGGGTCTCCTGGCTCCACCTCCCCCTCATCCATTCCTAAAATGTCCGTTTCCCTGGCCTGCCCCTGTCACCCACAGGGCCTGTGTCCTCCATTCTTCCTTCTCAGGGGTGCGGGGCAGCCCTGATGGATCGGGCCCATTTCCCAGGGACCACATAATGTCCTCAGCCCATCAGTGTCCACCCTGAGAGCTCAAGGAGAGAGGTGGCTCGATTATGAGGACCGCTCTCCTACTCCTGCAGTTGACAGCCCCTGCGCCTGGCCTGCATGTGCCCGAGGCTCCAGAGGAGGAGGGAGACGCAGGAGGGGGAGGGCTGGACAGGAAGAGGCGGCTCTGCAGCCAAGGGGCAGCGGGAGGCTTACTCCAGTGTGGGCACACAGGTGGCTGCGCCCCTTCCCCAGCCCCGGCCTGAGGAAAGAACCCTGAGCCTAAGGGACTGAGGGAAGGGAGTGGGGAGGGTCTCCATGGGCAGGGCCCGTGCCACCCCAAGAAGATGGGAAAAGGAAGGGGTCTAAGCAAGTCACTGTGGCCTGCCAGGTGCCAGCCGCGGGCACAAAGTCTGACTGTGTTCTCCCCATAGGTGACCCAGGACGACACCCCTGGGTCTGGCTTCTCAAGAGGAAAGCTCAGGCACCCTAGTAGGAAACATGGCGCTCCCTGCAGCTGTCGGCATTTTCAGAATTGTCCCCAGGTGTCCTGAAGTGAGCTTCCCTGAAGAAAGGCGCCTCTGCTGGCTTCTGGGAGAAATGCCACTCACCTGTCCCCAGAGAAGGACTGGCCTCTCCATACAAACAGCTCCCCCACACAGAGCCAGGGGGGAAGACAAATAGATTTTTCTACCTAGAAAACAATTCTTATATATGATAAGAGATACTATAAACAATGTTTTAAAAATTGTGACAGGACAGAAAAAAATAACATATATGTTATACAAAGATTTATATCCAGAATGTAAAAAGAACGTGTGAAATCAATAAGTGAAGGGCAACAAATCAATAAAAGCAAAAACAGAAAAGGACAGAAACTGTAATGCAAAGAAATGCCCCATGGAAAATTAATATACAGAAGACAAGATTGATTTTATTAGTAAATGGGAAAATGCAAATTAAAACAACTTTGGGGCATCATTTTTCACATATTAAATTAATAAAAAGTTAAAAAATTGGTTATTCCCAGTGGTGATGAGGTTGTGAGAAAATTGACAGTCTCAAAAGCTCATGGTGGGAATATAAATTGGCACATCCTTTTAGGAAATCAATTTGTCCAGATTTATCAAAACATTAGATGTGCATCCCCTTCCCGCAGACAATTCCATTTCTAGTGTCTACAGGAGAGAATGAATCACGTGTGCACCAAGAGCCATATATAAAAGGTTGTTTGTTGCAACGTTTTATATAATAACAAAACTTAGAAACAAATCAAACTGGCCATGAATAGAAAAAGAACTAAATATTATAAATGACGCTGCATGTCTAGTATGAGGTACTACGCAGAAGTCAGAAGGAATGAGGCAGATCTGTGTGTGCTAACATGCACAGATCAGATGGCCCAAACATATTTAGTTCAAAAAAAATCAAGCTGCTGAGTGACGCATATCATAACACCTCATTTATATCAGTTGAAATGAAGGTAACGCTATATCGCTAGACACAATGTGTGCAAGTGTGGGTGCATGTATGCGTGCGTGTGTGTAAAAACAGGGAACAGGCCGGGCGCGGTGGCTCACGCCTGTAATCCTAGCACTCTGAGAGGCCGAGGCAGGCGGATTGTTTGAGCTCAGGAGTTCGAGACCAGCCTGAGCAAGAGCGAGACCCTGTCTCTACTAAAAATAGAAAGAAATTAATCAGACAACTAAAAATATATAGAAAAAAAAAAAAAATTAGCCGGGCATGGTGGTGCGTGCCTGTAGTCCCAGCCTACTTGGGAGGCTGAGGCAGAAGGATTGCTTGAGTCCAGGAGTTTGAGGTTGCTGTGAGCTAGGCTGACGCCACGGCACTCACTCTAGCCTGGGCAAAAAGAGTGAGACTCTGTCTCAAAAAAAAAAAAAAAAAAAACAGGGAACAGCACGTACAAGAATCGCCTCAAGACGCTGCCATGGGTAATGTCTGGGGAGGGGTGTGTGACTGGGGTGGGACAGGAGCGTGAAGGGGGACTTTCACATTTTACACCGTATTCTATTGTACTGAATGTTTTTACTGTAAAACATACTTGCATTTAAAAAATGAAAACGTTTTAATGACTATTGGCGTGAGCGGGAAATGCAAAAATCAGAGGTCACCACAGCCTTGCCCCTGGACAGCAGCAGAAGGGTGTGTGTGTGTCGCCCTGACCAAGTCTCCTGATGACAAACTAGTCTCAGTGTCGTCTCTGGAGGCTCAGCTTCCGTGTGGTGCACACCCTTTGGTTCCCATACACTCCAGTTACACACTTGTTCTATCTCTCATAGTCTGGCAAGCTTAACAAGACCATTGACGCCTGCTCTGTGTCCCATCCCTGACCTCCCACTTAGCCCAGCAACAATGCTTAATGTGTGTTCTCACGGAAGCCCCTACACAAAGGTTTACCGTGCCCTTACTCACAATCGCCACAAACTGGAATCCACCGGCAAATGGATCAGCAACTGTGGCGCATCCATGCAGTGCAGCGCTGCTCAGTAACACGAAGGACAGGCTGCCAACACGGGATACGTGCGACACACTCGACACACCTCAATCCATCAGGAAAGAGGCCAGCTTCACAAGGCTGCACACTGCCTGATTCCATATATGAGGCATTCTGGAATAGGCAAAACTGGTAGGAGAGAAATCAGTGGTTTCCAGGTGCTGGGGTTTACCACGGAGAGGCATGGGGGAGTCTTGGGGGGGTGAGAAGACTGTTCTGCATCTGGGCTGTGTTGATGGCAACTGTAACCACCTCTGCCCACTCCCAGAGGCTGTCCAAGCCAGAGCTTTCCTTACTTCCCTTCTTCCATCTCTATTCCTTCTTTACTTTTCTTCCTCCTCCTCGTTCTTCAGCAGTGGAAAGCTCCCTTCAAATGGAATCCTGTCTGTGCCCCTGCAGATGCCCCACTGGAGGGGCACTGTTCTCGACGAAGACGGGTGAGGGTCCTTGCTCGACAGAAGTTTGTCTCCATGCTTTCATTCTACAGATGAAGAAACTGGGGCCCAAGAGGAAAGGTGCCCCCTATCCACATGCTCTGTGGGCCCAACTTTCCCCCGTGTCACTCTCAGAGACCACTGGAGGCTCAGAGGGGCCATCATGGTGAACAGCTTGTTCTAACCGTTCTAGAGTCAGCCAAAGCTACAGCCTGGTCACGGTGTAACAAAATAGAAACAGATCTGGGGACAAACACATCCTTTCCAACAACCTGCCCTCCATACTATTCTCCCTACCTTCTTATCCAAAGAGGCCCATGGGCCATGTGTCCAGGAGGAGCCATTGGTTTTT